TGTTGTGAATAGCCTTGTACCATGTCACCTCTGTGATCATTCACAGATTTCACACGTAGTAAGCAATGATGTCAGGAAGTGACATCGTTTACTATTATTCATGTGATCACTTATTGGCCAATCCTCACACAAAGGTCCCGTACAGCAATCACACAGCGGGCACCACAGCTCCCAGGGAGCGCACACAGGCAGGGAATGCGGGAGGATGTTTATAAACGGCCACCCGCTCCTGCACTGCTCCCGTCTGGCCGTTTATGTACATGGGCCGGATGGGAAGTGATTAATCAACACATATGGGCACTAGTGTTCCTACTGCCTTAATATGGAAATGCCAGTTTATACTGTTGATCTAGATGTACAGTATGTTGCAGTAATGGATATTTTCACTTGCAGTGACTTCCCAATTAAAATGGTGCAGGGCTTTGCAATACCAGACCACTGCTGAAAACATATTTGTGGTCTATGTTTTGCCAATATACCAAATACATTATGAACTGCTTGTTAAGGGGTTTGTTTTTAGATAAATAAACTGTGCACCTTACCTGAAGAGGAGAGATGGGGGAGTCTGCTAGAAGAGATTGGCTGCTGTGCACAGGATCCAGGCTCTTGGATGCGGAGTGATAAAGACCTAGCGTGTGGGAGCTGGGAGAGATGGGGCTATACGCAGGGGGGATCTGGGACAGTTGTCTCTGCAACAACTGCAGTATAATATTGATGTCTGAAGACATTCTGGACTCCAGCCTGTGGGAGAAATTGATATTAGGGCCAACATTTTCAAAGAAAACAGTAGTTACAATGACTGAGATAATGACACTGGTATATATTGTACAGACTGGGTTGGTCTTTGGCTCAGAGGACCGCCAGCACAGGAGAAGTGGGTGTGCAAACAAAGGTTATATGAACAACAGGGATGACTTCTGTGAGGGTTGGGGTTACAGAGAGGGTTAGTGTTAAGCCGGCCATAGACAGTTCAAATCTCAGCCAGTTCAGCAGGAACTGTCTGAGATTCCAACCATGTATGGGCAAGCTGAATGTACCCAAGTTGATTGATCGATCAACTTGGGTACAACCAGCCTGCTGTATTTTACATGCGACTATTGTAAGTGGCTATTATAGCAGCTAGCAATAATCACTGTCCTCTCCCAATGGGGATGACCTCCCAGGAAAACACAATGGCTGGGCGGGAGAGATTCCCCTGCCAACAGGGGTTATTTTGAGGAGGTCTTAGGGTAGGGCATTCTGTCAGTGCCTGAAGCTCTTCACCAAAAACTACTAAGAGCTAATGTGTTATCTATATATGCAGCCTTAGTTTATTCATTGTATGGGTTGGTCCCAACAATTAGGTAGATTTATTCTTTCAGATCCCAGTCACAGTCTGTTCCAAGGTTTGATGTGCATGTGGGGTCAACTTGAAAATTCATAAAATGGTTGTAAACGTCAGACATGACATATGAACAAAGCATATCCCTCTATAGTGTGTACTTGTATCAATTAGGAACACTAAGTGTAATTTCTCTCTGCTGCCTCGTTCTTTTGCTATCAGCCACTTCTGACAAGTTTTCCTGACACCAAGAGAAAAATGGTGACAGGGAGGGAGCTCCGGCAGATTGACAGCCTCAGTTCTGTTCCTGTGAGCTTTGTGGAGGAGGGGGTCACTTCCTTCCAATCAGCCATCAGGGCTCTCATCACTGAGCTCTGCAGAGCAGCCCTCTGCCCTTTTTTTTCTGAATTCTCAGACAAGCTTTATAAATTCAGCACTTTGAATGGATGTAGAGAAGACTGCAGATAGACAGATGCACCTTATGTGGGAAAATTTGTTTCATCTCTCATTTTCAAATAGTTGCTGGGAACATAATGCACACTGGAAAACAAGCACAAAGCAACTGTGTTTTTTTTAGTTTTGTGAGGTGCATTGTAAGACATTCAGTTCCTGGGCCTTTCGTGAAGATTATGTTTTTTTTCCTAGCTGGTCTGTCACACCTGTCTAGTTGAGCCTGCAGTAGCTCCAATCTGGATTCAATCTCTCCGGGCCGGTCATCAGGGCTAAGTGGAGGATCCAGAGAATTATGCACCATTGAAATATGTTGATGGGACTCTGGGCACGCAGCTGAGCGGTGGTCACTCCAGAAATTGAACAAGCTGGGAACTTCAATAGGAGATGCTAAAATATAAACCAATAAAATATGTAATTTTAAATAATCTTGATTCAGGCAAATAAAACAGAAAGAAAACCAGAGAGTAATAAGAAAACAAAGCAAAGTGTAAAACTCAGAAGACAAATATGCACACTTCCATTCGGACTGCAGTAATATTGCATTTGCTTTGTGTTTGTCCTTTTAGAGACATCCCTTTTGTGAATGCAGCCCGAGGGCACACTCCTGGATAGAACATGAAGCATTCAACTGTGTTTAATTCAAGTTGAGGTCAGTATTGTCCACTGCACTTCCATAGGGACTAATTATCTTTAACTGACCCACAGCAAGTCCTGAAATGTTATTTTGTCCATGTAAGGGCCCTTTCACACTGGCGGACTCAAGTAGATCCGCCTGCTCAGCGGGGAATCTGTCTGGTGATCCCCGCTGAGCAGACAGACAACAGGTCCATGTCCGTGTCCACCCTGCTTGTGCATAGCAAACACAGACACAGCCTGCTGTTCTCTATGGGGTGGTCAGATGTAAAAGACCGCCTGTACATTTACATCTGACTGTCATCTGATTCGATCCGCTAGATGGATGGAGAACAGATCCCCATCTGTCTTTTTCTAACGGATTGGATCGGATTGGATGCAGGTGGTTGTAAACAGACACATGTCCATTTACATCTGCCTCCCCATAGAGGACAATAGATGGTTCGATCGCGTCTGCCTGAAAAACGGACAGGCAGACCGGATCAGTCCGTTCTACCCATGTGAAAGGAACCTAAGAACAGACAGATGTTTTTTTAAACACCAATACCAAAAGAAAAAAGACTTTGAAGTGTTTTATTTAAGCTTTTCCTGCAGTCGAAAGCTTGTGACCAAGTGTGAATCATTTGCTCCTGTTCTCTTTAAATAAAAACACATTTTCAGGTAATTTAAAGAAACCATGCCACCTGTCTTTCAGGAAAAAGTGACAGTGCTTCCTGATACAAAATAAGAAGTGCACTGTCCCTTTAAATCCTGAATGTACACATAGTTAGAAAATTCACCAGTTAGTGCAAACAAATGTGAAATAAACTGAAAGAATTCTTACATACTATAAAACACACTAATAAAGAAATCCAAATTAAAAAGTGCTCCTTGACACAGGGTGGACTGACCATTGGGGAACTTGGGCACTGCCCGAGGGCCCAGGGTCAGTAGGGGGCCCCATGAGATGTCCCTGGTACCTTTCATAGGCTTTTTTGGGTGTGGTTTGAGTGTGGGCGAGGACACAGGGGCCCCACGATCCCCTATTGCCCGGGGGCCCCATGAGTTGTCAGTCCGCCTCTGCTCCTTGAAGAAAAGAGGGGCCTCTTACCAAATGGAAGTGATCTCAAATTATAGAGATCAAAAGCGCTTGAATCCGAGCTCCAGGCTGGCCCTCTCACTGTCAGACCCTCAGATGGTTAAATGACTTCATCGATGGAGTGTATGGACAAACCAAGTATCAGCCTTAGCCTCAAATGTCGCTCAACTGCGACAATGTAGTGATATCAGGCACATGGCGTAGGGAGTGTTGTCAAAATGCGTGGACATGGTTATATGTTTTGAGGCGGGGTTGCCTCTTTCTCAAACCAATAGCTATATGCCCTTCACCTTCCGGTCTCCCAGTGCTCCATCCACATCTATAGGCTCCAGTGACAGCTGAACCATCTCTCCTACATCTGGATGATTATTGGATGATCGGACCCACATGTTATGAGACTCCTAACCCTTTACCTCTATGAGTTGCTATTTACATAGCTTGCTTTTGCTATACGTAGTCTACTGCAAACCCCCCCGGTGGTGTCTCCTTTGCATTACAGCTACAGGTACTGCAATTCCTCCCAAGGAAGCTCATCCTGTTATGTGAAGGTCCATCACCAGGAAGCTGACCCTTAATAACAATTCTATATGTATATGCCCTATATCCCTACATTGTCTTGTAAGTTGCCAGTTGTCATATTTATTTTATTTATTTATTTCAGGTACTTATATAGCGCCATCAATTTATGTAGCGCTTTACATATATATTGTACATTCACATCAGTCCCTAACCCTCAAGGGGCGTACAATCTAAGGTCCCTAACTTACATTCATACATACACATACTAGGGACAATTTATACAGGATCCAATTAACCTACCAGCATGTCTTTGGAGTGTGGGAGGAAGCCGGAGTACTCAGAGGAAACCCACGCAGTCACAGGGAGAACATGCAAACTCCAGGCAGGTGGTGCCGTGGTTGGGATTCAAACCAACAACCCTAGTACTGCCAGGCGGAAGTGCTAACCATTTAGCCACTGTAAATGAGTTTTTATACTGCTACTCAGATGCACCCTCTGCTGTCCCTATCTATTATCATAGAGAATCTTCAGTCTCTTGAGAGGTGCTGCAATACATTGTTTTGGAATCACTCCACCACCTCACCCGGACCCCCCAAGCCATCTCCCTTCAGAGTGTTGGTCACATACACTTCTGCGCCATAACTCTCCACATATATGTAATTTGAAGGGAATGTATTGCATTTTAATCATTTTATAAAAATAAATAAGAGACATGTTTGATGTAAATAATGGTATCAATGTGTATAACGGTTTTAAAACTTTGTTTCTATATACGTTGGGTAAGCATATATTTGCATAGAATCTGCTTCCTGCTTTGCAGTGCAAATAGTAGTGCTCTACTGATCCTTCCACAATGAAAGTTTATGGGTTTGCTGCAGTGACACTTACTAGAGACCTGTTGTGTCCCCCCAACTATGGATATGTTTCATATCCCAAGGGCACTTTTCCTGTTCAGTTTAGCTCTAGGACAAAAATAAAAATACTTAGTCAAGGCTATCAGTCACCTGAATATGTCTCCACTGTCTCCAGCATCTTCCGACCCCCCTCTCGATTGCTGATGTTGGCTGTCACCAAATTGACCACTGCTGGGATGAACTCCTGCTTTTCTGTGGAAGCCAGCCTATCCATGCAACCTGAGTTTAGTGGTTTGGTTTCATCATCACTGGTTTGGGAACAAGGAGTAGTGCTGCTGGCCAAATCATCCCACTGTTCCCGGCTCAATGGCCGCTGGATGTTGCTCTTTTCAGAGTAAGTGTGATACTGCTCAGCATCAGAATTCAGATCCTCAAGACCATCTGCGAGACATGGAAGAGCTGCAAGTCAATGAAACATTTCTAAATAATTTGCACTGATCAAATGAAACACTCAACATTAAAGCACAAATGTTGCTACATGAGGAAGTGTTTTGCATGCTTTGATTCTTACCATGTTTCTTCCTACGTCTTCCTTGTTGTTTGCATCTCCGTGTCCTACGGTAGTTGCAGTTGTACTCCTCGCTTATAGGAGAACGTGGAATACTGTCTGCCTGATAACGGAAAGAATCACAAAATGGGTTAGCACTACATGATTTGCTTGAAACTTCTTCATATTTGCAGCTATTGTTATTTAGCTTTTGTAAGTAATTTACTAACTCATGTGCATTATATATCATAAACAGTAATCATAGTTTATTGAACCTGTTTATAAACATTGCCCTAGCAAAGTCCTGAGTAGGACGGTCATCTGTACAGCTGTATACCTCTTGTAAACACTAGCTGAATTGATGTTCTCAACAGTATAGTCTAATGCAGGTTTTTCAACCAGGGTTCCATGGAACCATAGGGTTCCTCCAGAGCAGTGTTTCTCAACCTTTTTCCAGACAGGGCGCCCTTGAAAAGTATTTTCAGCTCCCCAGTCTAGGGCTTGGTTCATGTTCTAATGTGTTGAGGAATACACCAAAATCTTGCTTGTTCCTGTCAAGCCGACAAATGTTCTGCTCTTTGGGGGTGCCATTAATTCTTAATGGTACCCCCACACATTGGCAAACGCAGGGTGTTTTTGGTGTGGTGCAATTTTTTAAAAAAAAGGGCCAGGGACTTCTTTTCCTGCATTTCTGCGGGTAGGACAGCATACTGAAATGAATGGGCCACTCTAAACACAGCACACAGATGCATAGATGTGAACCAAGGGCTTTTTCATGTGAGGTTGGAGGGCAGTAAAACCATGCAGCTGAGCTATTTTTACCACCCCCAACTGCTCCCCCTTTAGCTGCAGAGGCAGCAACTGGGAGTTTACGCATGCTGTGGCTGGAAGTATACTCCTAGGTGAATGGGGCTGCACTGAAACCACCCTGCAACTGGTTGTGGTGTGGTGATGCTGCATTTATGGGGTTAAAACAGGTGGTGAGGAGTCAACATATTGCCTCTTCACTGCCTATCGAATGCCTCTGAACAGCAATCTGAGCATGTGAGCTGAGCATGTTATAAACAAGCTCTAAAAAAGCAGTTCTGATAGTACAAGAATTGTACAAGAATAGTGGGTCAGGATTAAAAGTAAAATACATACACACACATATACAAACACATACACGCACAAACACACGTATGTACGTACACACATATATATACACACGTATACATACAAACACATGGGGATCGGGAGCTCGGGCTGATCTGACAGCTTTTCTCTACCAGGATGCCGCGACACCCCTGAGGACCTCAGGCGGCACCCTAGTTGAGAAAATCTGCTCCAGAGGTTGCAAGAGGTTCCTTGAGCAGTAAGCAGTTTCTGCCCCTAATATAAGTTCCCACTGACACCATTGGTCTTTTTAGCTATCTGTAAGGGGGTAATTCTTTTCAATACCCACAAGTGTAAGTTGTATTTGTCTCACTATCACACTAATGTATCATGAGCAGTAGATGTAGTAATTATTAGGAGTTACATGAGAGCAGAAAGTTATTTCAAGGGTTGAGAAAGGCTGTTCTAATGGCTGCCATAAACAGCAAAGATTTTGGCTTAATTCAGCTGAATCAGTTGAAATTTGAGCCATGGGTGGCCTTGTTGGTACCACTCAGCTTGACAAAAGTTGAATTTTCAATCAACTTTTGTTGCAGGAGCTGGGGTGAGAGAATTGCTGGATGGACAGTGTGTGCATCCAATAAGATTCAGTCACAAATCGGTTATTCTGACAGCTGCAGGTCCCAGCTGTCAGAATACAATAGCCAGCAGGGAAGATTTCTTCATCCATATACGTGAACTGAACAAGCAAAATCTATACATGTATGCTGAGCTTAAGTCTCATCTTTAGTGAAATACAACCTATTCTACATTGTTCTGCAACCTCCTCACATCTCTCAGGTTGAAGGTAATCTCCAAGTTGCTCCAGAAGCTGTCCGTGAAGGTTGGGTACATGTCTAGCACCTCCAACAGATCTTCTCTCTGAATCTTATGAAGGTCACAATAAGTCAGAGCCCTCACATCAGCATTGGACTTTCCAGGACGTGCATACAAGCTGATGGGCTCTCCAAATATATCGTTTTTTCCTGAAAAAAAAAACAAAAGATTAAAATATTTCCAGTTAAAATCAATTTCTGCTATAAGATTTATGATAAATGATGTGTGCGGCTCATTTGGTGTTTTTTTTTAATCTGGTAATAAAATCAGTTCTGCTTCGGTCTGATCAGTGCTGCTCTGCGTTCCTCCTTTGGCAGCATGAGAGCATTCTGAAATTATAAGTCCCTCTTGGCCAGCTCATTACTTGATTACTAGTCTGTGAGAGATCACATCAGAGATTCAGTAACAGTTGTATGTTTGCTTTCTGTCAGCCATCCAAGCTATCAGGACAGTGAATAGAAGTGAAGTTAGGTGGTATGCCAGTTCTCTTACTGATTTTTTAAAAAATTGAGTGCTGAGTGGAGGGTTTGCTCTTAATATAAATGGTTATAATAAGTAAAAAAAAAACAGAGTCTGTTTAGACATGCAGCCCTCTCAGTTTTAACAAATACTTTTAGGAGAGCAGTGAGCCAAATACATGGGCAGGAAATTTGTTTTCTTCAAAATCTCTTCTTGCAACAAACACTGCTGTTATGATTTCAAGGAAGCAAAATATGTCCTTTAAAAAAAATAAATGAAACTGGAGTTTTTTTCTCACAGAGTCTGATGGAAGATTGCATGTCATCAATGTATAATGTCTAATTTTAGGGTTAATATTGAGTATATGTACAGTGGTATCCAGGGGCGGACTGACCATTTGGAAACTCGGGCACTGCCCAAGGGCCCGGGGTCAGTAGGGGGCCCCTATGAGATGCCCCTGGTTCCTTTTTCATAGGTTTTTAAGTTTGGGCAAGGACATAGGGGCCCCATGATCCCTTATTGCCCGGGGGCCCCATGAATTGTCAGTCCGCCCCTGGTGGTATCTCTGCTACACCCCCTGCAGTATTGAGGATCAGGTGGGTCTTTTCCTGTAGTTGCCCGCAGCCAGGCACACAGTCACTGCCTTTTGGCCCAATGAACAGTCTAGGGGTATGCTTTTCTGATGCTTTATTGTGGAACATGAACGTAGATAGGAGCAGGGTAACTGTGGGATACTCCAGTAACTTTTAGTAGCAATTTGAGGACACTAAACTTTCTTCTTTAGAACTAGAAGTCCTTGATGGACCGAGCTTTGTAATAGCAACTTGAGGATATTAATCCTCCTCTTAGAGATCCTTTAAGTAGGAATGAAGTAGAGCTTTTCAGGACACCAGACACAATGTCCTCTATGAACACAGCTGACTCTATGGCACTGGAGGGGTGGCAACAGTACACAGTCTGCAGGATCGCTCACATTAGTCTGCACTCACTAATGTCTTTGGATAATTGTAAATCCTCTATCCAATATCTTCCAGACACCTCTCCCAGTGATACCAGAATAGATCCTAAGACGGAAAGGCCCTCAGTCAGCTCCAGCAACTTTCAGCAAAGTAAGCTTCCACAGCTAGCCCAGCTAGGACCTCAAAGAAAAGGAGACGAGCATGCTTACCTAGGGGGCACTTAGCCTCCTAGGCTGTGATCTCCTCCTCAGAGTTTTTATACACACGCCCAGCCACCATCTGGGCAACTCTCCCCAGGGACTGGCCACGACTGCATAAATATTCAGCTACCAATTTGACTATTTCCAGCCCTTTATCTTTCTGAACATTTCCAGCCAGACGGGGAAACAGTCAACCATGCAGCCAGTGAAGCACAGAACACAGACTTAACTAATCACATGAAGCCACACTGATTACAGTGAGACAAACTAAATGTACCTAATCTAGCATCTGGGAGGGTACTACATATGTATTAACGAGAAAACAAAAGAAAATCCCTTAACAATGATAAGATATGATATATTCTCAATTATTCCCAGTATAAATATAAGCAAAAGGAGAAAAAAACCTAATTACCCAAAATAGCCACCACAATGTCATCCCTGAGAATTTCAATTGACCCACGAGAGATGAAATAGAGAGTAGTGAGCACATCTCCATAATGAACCAGTGTGTCCCCTGGTGGGGCATGCGTAGTCTTGAACTTCATGGCCAGGGCTCGCAAGCATCCTTTGGTGGCACCACGGAAGGCTTTGCAGTTTTGAAGCAGTGTGCGGTTGAGGTGCAGGCATATGTCTGCTTGGAGGCACTCTGGGAATCCTTTCAGCACCTGAAAAATTAGATAAAAAGAGAGTGAGAGAACATTAGTCTGAATAAAACTATATGAAGTCTGAAAAGAAAGGTAAGGCTATGAAGAAGAATGGTATGCAGTGTTGGATACAGGATCTCGGATATATGAAGTTGATAAAATATGGTATGGTATAGAGTTGCAAAGCAGAAAAGCGGATGATGTGATTATATGGTATGGTTTTTAACAAGATTGTTCTAATTTGTCCTCAAGGGTCATGCTCATCCTTCAAGATTGGGATAACTTTATTTAATCTTTAATTAATGCTAATAGATTTGAATAGGGGTATGGAGCCACAGTCAGCACCCAGATAGATGGTGCTTGAACATGTTCTGTTGTATCATCTGAGAATGCAAGCAGGAAGTCCTCAGATACCCTCAGCATCAGTCCTGTCTCAGCAACACTTCTGAAACATTTAGGCCAGAGGTATTTGCTAGTACCCATACACATAATCACTGTCACCCAATATTTTCACTGGTTCGAGTAACAATAATTTTGTATTAGGGTACTTGAAGCTATACCTTCATTATGTCATAATATAGTATTTGCTGCAAAGTTGGATTACTCACATGGTTTTTGCATTACCATACCTGCTTCCAAATGATATAAAACCAAACAGCAAAGCTGAGTGTGGGTGACAGACTTGGGCAGTCACTGGGCATTAAGAGTAGCTGTGGACCAACTCTTTAGACCTAGAACCGCTTGCATTAAGATATTCAAAGCTGGGGCTTTGCATACAGGGGTAGATTACTCGCTAAAAGTATCAGATGGTATACTCGGATGGTATACTCAGTCTGCATTTTGTTTCTCACCTTCGAAGAGCTCTTGATGCTGTAGAAATATTCACCACTTGACCAACTGGTGGAAGGGGTACATGTGTGGAGAAAGCTTAATTCCCTTCTCTTCATAGCAAGAGAACACTGAGACTGATTTGACAGATAGATGTGTATGTTGAAAAATCTCTGTGTGCAATAACAAGGGTTTCCAGTAGTAAGATGCGCTTGTTATCACCCATTAGTAAACCCTGCAACAGGGGTGCTTAACCTGTGGCCAACGGAAGCGCACTTCTATTATGTTCTGTGGGTTTGGTGCTCTTTCAGAAAGCACACCACACTCGCAATATATAATAGAAGTCTATGGCAAAGTGAAGCTAACCCACAGGAAAGCACTGCACCGCACTTGCCTTGTGGGTAAGCTACACATGTGAAAACAGCCTTATAGGGGGCTTAGGACAGTAAGGACTTGTTTGCGGTTTCGGGGGCAATAAAACCCCAAAAATGAGATGTGTTTTTTTACCACACACCCCAAACCATTGGTGTAGCATCGCTGGTTGCAATGGTGACCCCGTCCCATGGAGGGGCCCTGTGTGGCTTTTTGTCACGTTCTGTTTTATACTTGGACAGGATGGGTGGCAGGAGCAACATATACAGGGACCTATCTTCTCCATTTGCCTCTTGTAACCGCTGAAAGTCAGCTTTTCCTCTCTTTTCCTCCCAGCAGCATTCAGCAGATGCAGGAGAAAAATGTTCATTATGCTATTCAAGATAAACAAATTCTTAATTCTGAACCATTTTATCTCGCTGTGGCCTGCGACTGTTTACCAAATTACTTAAGTGGCCCTTGATCTTCAAAGGGCTGAGCACCCCTGCCCTAAACTGCCTTAATCTGCTTTAATCTTCCATACTACCTATAAATGGACTTTTATTTTTAGGTGGAATATGCAAAGTTTTAATGAGAAGATAGAATGGAGATTTGTTAAACTGGAGAGAGAAAAATGAGTGAAAAACATGGTGAAAAATATGTGATGACGTACATTATGAAGAAAAAAAAAATAATTTAGGAGTAGGATGTGATGGAGTTGAAGTTAGGGATGGGTATGCAAAGCTGAACAGAAGAAATTTGGAATGTATGTCCTAACCTGGAGAGGGAAGGTACATGGGTTGATTTACTAGAGGGAAATAAGCCGTTTATTTTGCCAGGAAATTTTCACTTTGGAAGGGAATTTTACCTTAGCTTATGGTGAATATGGTGAAATTTCATTGTACAAAGCATACCCAATCACGTGCAAGGAAAATAAAAACCTGTATTTTTTATTGCACATGACTGGATGATAGAAGTCAACAGAGCTTTACCTCATTCATGAAAATTCCTTTGCAAAGTGAACAGCCTGTTTGTCTTTAGTTAATCAACCCCTCAGAATCAGTATACTGTATATACTGCTGTTCATGGTGAGAATGGGGTTACATGCATTGGTATGTGGAATCAGTGGTGTATGCATACAAAACAGACTACTGACTTGCAACAAGGAAAGCAAAATGGAATGGTCTTGTTTAGGTTTATCATTGGAGTACAAAATGGAATTGCAGATGAGATGGGTCTATGTATCAATGCAAAGAAAGGTGTGCATTGATCTAAAGTCACCAGGCAAGCAAGATATAATTATGCAGCTGGTACACACATTTTGTGATTGAATCACAGTGCATATTATCACTCACATCAAGACCTCACATGACTATTTCTCTGCTGTAAAAACAGATAGTATTTATATAATACAGTGTTATGTGGTCTGACAGTCACTTTCTAAAATAAAACGTGCCATCTACACGGGAATCTCAGAATAGCATTTTTCTTTCCATACACTGTTCAAAGCAATCATTTGCATTTCTTAATATGATTCCAAGGAGAATTCCTGAGCAGGGGAAGGTACGTCATGGCAGCACTTGGTGCATGGTGTTTTACCATGGAGGATCACTACACAGTGGGGATGATTTGACTAAAACTGGAGAGTGCAAAATCTGGTGCAGCTGTGCATGGTAGCCAATCAGCTTCTAACTACAGCTTGTTCAATTTAGGCTTGGTTCACATATGTGCGGGTGGTGCCGCTGCGGATCGCAGAAAAATCTGTGCAGCCGCACCACCCGCATAGAAGAATGTGGACCTGCGGGGCGGGTGCTATTATTTCTAATGGTATGCTGCCCGCACTGGAAATTGCAACTGTACTGGGAACCCAGGTTCCCATGCGGGCTGCGTTTTCAGAAGTGCAGGGACTTCTTTCCTGTGTGTCCCGGGGCATGGGAGTCCATTCAAAGTAATGGGCTCTTGTGCCCGCGCAAAACACGGACCGCAGGAATGCAGATATGTGAACCAGGGGTAAAGGATAAGTTCCCCTTTTTGCCAAATATAATAAATGCACATTATTTTGCAGGTAAAAAAATGTGCATTTTTTTATTTTTGTCTGCAGGAGCCAGTAAAGCATTGCACCAGCGATCAGTAGACCGTTGATGCCATGCATGTCTCCTGCAGACCTGTCAGAATATTTGCTTGCTGTACGGGATGTACGAGCAATCAGATATTCTGAGAGGAAGCTTCAATGAACTACCACAGAGCTCCACAGCGCCATGGTAGTTCATTGAAAACTACAAGCTGACAACCACTAAGGCTGCCGGGACTTGTGGAGAGTTATGTGAATGAGCGAATGAGTGATGTGGCCGAGTGGGCGGAAGTATTTTCAAATCTGACTTATAGCACAGAGAAACTTCCCTCCGTACTGTCAGCGGGAGGGGGGGGCGGCGGCGCGGCTGAAGCTATGGGAACATGGCACATGTTACTCCCTAAAACCGGGTGGACATATGTAACATGTTCCCAAAGGTGAACTTATCCTTTATGCTTTAACAATAAAGCCTGGAAGCTGATTGGTTTGTGTGCAGAGCTGCACCAGATTTTGCACTCTCCATGTCTAGTAAATCAACCCCAGTGTCTCTAAAAAGAACCATCTGCATTGACCCAATCCCCTACCAGAAAGCCATCACATTTAAATTTTCATTTTCCAACATATTACTTTCCAGCACAGGATTAAACTAATAGATGACTGTGCTGAAAACCTGAAAGTACTTTTCTGATATAAACTGATAAATGATTCCCACCTTCCCCACTCAGAGGTCTTCATATCATAGCACGAGGATAAAAAATATGCAACTAGAAGCTAAAAAGGCATCTAACATGCTTTTACAAATACAATGGATGAAGACCAAATCTATTTCCAGCTGGTACTTCAGTTTTACATGCTTGCTGGCAAATTGAATCACATGCTTCCAACTGATATGTTGTTGGAGCTCGAATGGTAAGATTTCCCTTCTGGAGCTATCAGTTTTTCCAAAATGTTGTGGCCACTGCAAAGCCAAATGATACTGTGAGCACCTCATGGGAAATCTCCATGAGGTGTCATAATTAAATAACTGTGGAACATGGGTTCCAGAGAGCGTCAACACCATTATGGTTTTGTGGAAAGAAAGCAGACACTAACTTTTCTGAAGGCAAATCTTTCAATTGATGTCTTTCAAAGATATGGTGGATGATTCAATCTGCCAGTGGAAAAGCCAAATGAGAAATGACAGCTTTAAGTAGAATTGGTCATTCATGTTAAAGTGTGTGCTGCTTACTGAGAGATCCACCAGGTTCTGAGCATAACAGATGCCATCTCAATTTCAGTAAAACGTTTGAAGAAGGTAGATTCTTGGGACTATATTAAATTATTAGTATTTGAGGTACTCATAAACATTAGATGCCCAATGTCCCACACCAATCATTGGAAGAATTTTGTATGACCATGAGTTTGATAGTGAAAACCACAACAAATAAGATTGTGGATTTAAAGGAAAGGACTACGGGTCAGATTGGTAATTTGTTGAAAACAGACCACTGATCTTCCTTTCAGTTAAGAAATGAAAACAGTTGTAAGGTTCACAGCAGTTCATAGCATATGCATGGTCAAAGTACAACTGTAGACATGTGAGGGTTGGTGGGAGAATCCTTAAAGTGTATTTAAAGCCAAAACTTCTTTTTCATTTTGGATAGAGTATGCCACAATTAGAACCTCTGTCAGGTTTTTATTGCTGTCTGTATGTCAACTGGGCAGATTCATCCTCTCTGTTTGTTTTGGTCACCTTTGTCACCAGGACAGCAAAGGATGGGAAATGTTATCA